GAGGACGACTAGAAAACGGGGACTAGAAAGTGAGGGCTAGAAACCGAGGACTAGAAATTGAGGACTAGAAATTGAGGACTACAAATGAATGTCTAGAAATTGAGGGCTAATAACTGAGGACTAGAAACTGAGGAACAGTAATTGGGACCCAGAGACTGAGGATCAGAAATTGATGGCTAGAAATTCAGGACTAGAAATTGGGGACAAGAAATTGATGACTAGAAACTGAGGACCAGAAATTGATGACTAGAAATGCAGGACTAGAAATTGGGGACAAGAAGTTGATGACTAGAAATTCAGGACAAGAAATTGAGGTGTAGAAACTGAGAGAACCGAGGAGTAGAAATTGAGGGCTATAACTGAGCGATAGAAATTGAGGACTGGTAACTGAAGTCTAGAAACTGAGGACCAGAAATTGATGACTAGAAACTGAGGACTAGAAATGAATAACTAGAAATTGAGGGCTAGAAACTGAGGACTAGAAACTGAGGACTAGAAACTGGGGACCAGAAATTGAGGACTAGAAACTGGGGACCAGAAATTGATGACTAGAAACTGAGGACTAGAAATTGAGGACAAGAAATCGATGGCTAGAAACTGAGGACCAGAAATTGAGGACTAGAAACTCAGGGCTAGAAACTGGGGACTAGAAACTGAGGGCTAGAAACTGGGGACTAGAAACTGAGGGCTAGAAACTGGGGACTAGAAACTGAGGGCTAGAAACTGAGGACTAGAAACTGAGGACTAGAAACGGAGGAACAGAAACTGAGGAATAGTAACTGAGGGCTAGAAACTGAGGACTAGAAATTGGTGACTAGAAACTGAGGACCAGAAATTGAGGACTAGAAACTGAGGGCAAGAAACTGAGGACCAGAAATTGAGGACTAGAAACTGAGGGCAAGAAACTGAGGACCAGAAATTGAGGACTAGAAACTGAGGGCAAGAAACTGAGGACCAGAAATTAAGGACCACCTAATGAGGACTAGAAAGTGAGGACCACACATTTACTAGTATTTGAGAACTAGAAATTGAGGAATAGATACTGAGGACTAGATACCAAGGACTAGATACTGAGGACTAGATACTGAGGACTCGATACTGAGGACTAAATACTGAGGACTAGATACTGAGGACTAAATATTGAGGACTAGATACTGAGGACTAGAAGCATCCCACAAACTTCTGAGCTGAACTCTTCCATTGTGGAAGCCATGACATGGGTGTCTTGTTACCAATCAGGAAGTTCTGCTAGGTGATGGAAGTTCTAGGTAGACATGATGAAAGGGGACTCACCTGGCGTTGGTACAGTCGTTGTACAATGTTTCAAAATCCTTCCTGGAAATGAGTTTGCAGCGGTTGACTCCTGGCTGGATGGCCCCCAATCCTCGCAAGATCCGGACCTGCTCCACATTGCACACCACCGGGGTGATCTCCAGCCGCTTGAGCTTGGTGTAGACGGTGTGCAGCCCGCCGACCAAATGCTTCAAGAAGAGGTCGAAGGCTTGGGGCAGGCAGATGAGTTCGCAGCCGTCCACCGTGAAGGAGGCCACCTTAGCCCCTCTCAGGTCCACCATCCTGCACTCATTGTTCTGGGGGATGTTCTCCACGGGGGATGGAGTGGAGTAGACGGGCTTCCCTGGCAGGTTGGTGTTGGGGGCACTGCTGCTGCTGCTGCTACATGTGGATGTGGTGCTGGTGGAGGTGCTGGGAGGGTTGTGGTGGTGGCTGATGCTGCTGCCGGTGTTGGTGGCCAAGCCGGGGCTGTTGCTGCTGCAATTGTTGCCTCCTCCAGCCCCCGGCGTACTGCTGGGGATGTTGGTGGCCGCGGGGCTGCCGAGGCTGGATGTCACCGTGGTGGCCGCAATGGGCTCCGGTCTGTAGAGGTTCGGACCGGACGAAGCCGGGGTCACTGACGGAGTGGGTGAAGAAGAGGACGAGTTGGTGGATGAGGACGGGGCGGACGTAGCGATCACCAGCTGAGTCGGTGGGATCAAAGCAGCCGTGCCGGCCATGGTCACATAGGAGTACCTCCCAGTGTAATACACTTTCCCAACAAAGTTACCGCAAGCAGAAGACAGCAAATCTACCATAAAAGAGCGCGGAGCCAGGCAGTGATTGGTGGGAATGAGCCCCCCACAGGATCACCCAGTACAAGTCCAGCACCGCCAGCAGCCACTTGGGCTCTCGGAGGGGCTGTGTCTACTACAAAGTTACAGGAGGAGGAGGATCGCGCGGCTCAGGCTCTCTCTCAGCACATTCATCAAACATTGAGCACGAATGTCACAGACAAAATGAGGAGGAAAAGTGCTGCCTGCTCGGTGGACGCTTGTTGTTGTCACACGGTGCGGAGGGGGCGGGGCTATGGCAACTTCCACTCTCCTGCCTGTCCGGGCGAGGGGAGAGCACAGCGCTCAATGCCTCGTCTCTGTCATCTCCGTCCTCTATGTCATCGTACAAGGGGGACTTACTACACCAAACAGGATTGGACAGTGCCAATGTCACCACCATCTCTACATCGCCATCACTACATCACCAATGTATCCTCTGTGTTCACACCACAAGATTGTCATTCATTGTATGGCACAGGGACTACAAGGACTGTATGACACAGGGACTACAAGGACTGTATGACACAGGGAGCACAAGAATTGTATGACACAGGGACTACAAGAACTGTATGACACAGGGAGCACAAGCTATGACGCAGGGGCTACAAGAACTGTATGACACAGGGACAACATGCATGCTGCCTGGCACACAACTTTACTCACGTACTACCCTATGTCATTATGGCAGTATGAAAGCATTGATCTGGTATATGTTTGATCTGTCTGTTAATACCTCCCTCTCTTTCTGCCTCTCTCTCTTCCCCCCCCCACCTCTCTAACTTTCTCTCTCTTCCCCCTCTCTAACTATCTCTCTCTCTCTCCACCCCCCTCTTCCACCTCTCCAACTTTCTCTCACACACACACACTTTCTCTCTATCTCCCTATCACTCTTTTTCTCTCTCCCACCTCTAACTGTTTCTCTGTCCTCTCTCCCCCACCACTCTAACTTTCTTTCTGTCTCTCTCTCTCTCTTTCTCCCCCTCTTTCTCTCTCTTTCTCTCCCACCTCTTTAACTTGCAGTCTCTCTCTCTCTCTTTTTATCCCCCTTCTCTCTCTATCTCTCTTCCAGTCTCCCCTACCACTCTAACTTTCTCTCTCTTTCTCCCTCTCTCTCTCTCTCTCGCTTTCTCTCTCCCCTTCACTCTCTCAATCCCACCTCTCTCTCCTTCTTCCCCCTCTCTCTCTTTCTCCCCCCCCTTTCTTTCGCTCTCTCCCCCACCTTTCTAACTTTCACTCTGTCTTTCTCTCTCTCCCCCTTCCCTCTCTAACTCTCACACACGCTTTCCTCCCTCTCTTTCTCTATCTCTTTCATTCTCTCTCTCCCATCTCTCTTTTTCTCTCACACACACTCTTTCCCCCCTTTCTCTATCTCTTTCCTTCTCTCTCTCCTATCTCTCTAACTTTCTCTCTCTCTCTCCCACCTCTCTAACTCTCTCTCCCACCTCTCTAACTTTCTCTCAGCCTTTCTCTCTCTCTTTTTTCTCCCCCTCTCTCACTCTCTCGTTCTCCTTTCTTTCACCCTCTCTCACTTTATCTCCTCTCTCTCCTTTCCTTCCTCTCTCTTTCTCCCCTCCTCTCTCTCCCTCCCTTCCCCTCCCCCTCTCTCTCCTCTTTCCTTTCTCCCCTTCAGTCTCCAGGACTGTAAGGGTTATTTGCTTGTTAATGTCTATGACATATGACCTGGGAAAATAACTTTTACTTCCCTGATCCCTGCAGGCTCCAGGACTGGTACCCGCAGCCTCTTCTCCCCTCCACTCTAGTAGTTGAAGGCTGGCTGTTGTCATCAAGTACAATGCAGGATCCATAACCCTGTATTGTACATGAGGATCCTGAGGGTCAGAACACAAGCCTGGGTGGATGGGAGAGAGGTAAATGGTGACTGGCAGAGGAGCGGGGATCAGGTTAGCAATAGTCCATACCTGTGCCCTGCATTGTACATGACATCAGCAGGCCTCCAACCACTGAAGCAGAGGGGGAAGAGGCTGTGGGTGCCGGGCGGTCTTAGAACCAATCGATTGCCCTATCCATGCTAAACAGGCCCTCCTGACTAATGTATTTAGCAGCTGTGGGGAACTGCGGCTGCTGGAAACCCGAACAGTGACTGCATCTGATTGGCTGGAGTCACTGTTTGGCTGACAATTTTCCACCCAGCTTTTTCAACAAAAACTCAATTGAAAACTGTGTTTTTTGAGTCAGGTGGTGCAGACATGGCTACCCACAGCTTGAATTTTGGGCGATTCAGCAGGAATTGGCTGAAATTGGAGCAGTTTACGGCCAGCTTTATGAAGTTAAGAACTTAAGACTTTTCACTGACTTTCCTGATCTTCATACTTGTTTCAGATCCATGACACAGAGGGACTTTTGAGAGAAAAGCTCAAATTATAGTTCTCTCATGACAGGTTTACGTTATAACTGATGAAAAGCCTGATTTGGAACTACAGGCTCCAGCATGCCTTTTAGACCTCGTTCACACCAGACACAGTGCGTTCCTGCCTAATTGTGGCCAGAACGCATAGCATCGCATTGCGGACGGCTCACTATGTTGTGGGGCAGGAGGGGACGTGGCGGTCCATTGAAGTGAATGGCACCGTAGCCACGCCCTCCGGCCGCACGGGAACGCAAGGCACATTATGCCTGCAGTCCGGTCCAAACAAAATATCGCTTGCAGCATTTTGTTCGGACCGGAACGCAGGCATAATGCGCCTTGCATTCCCGTGCGGTGCGGCCGATCGCTTTCTGACCGGAGGGCGTGGCTACGGTGCCATTCATTTCAATGCACCGCCACGCCCCCTCCTGCCCAACGACATAGTGAGCCGGCCGCAATACCATGCAGTGCGTTCTGGCCAGAATCGGGCCGGAACGCACTGTGTCTGGTGTGAACGAGGCCTCAGCTTTTTAGGGCTTAAAGTTCTCCAAGAAGCCTCAATCTGTTTTAGATGCGGCAGATTCCTAGTACTAATATGAACAAAATGATTTAGTCAGTGCAGTTTCAGAATGAATCTTGTATCGTCTGTAGTATACACCTGTGATAACTGCTAGTTTAATGACACAGCCGTGTATATACAGGCACTCCACAAGATGAGGGTACTTCACAAGACTGATGAAGATATTATTGTAGATTATGTTTATCCTGTATTAAAGGGAATCATTTAGCACACATGAATGATATAAATTGCTATTTTAGCAGCACAAACTCTTATAAGACAAACTCTTATAGACAGGGCACAATTGTTTCATGGTGGTGTGAAAATAATGATACCCCGTTTTTATAATATATGGAGTTATGTTACTGGAGCATTAAATCACTGTGTCATTATCCAATGTTATATATATATATATTTTTTTTTTTTCTAGGGACTGAACTAGAACATTAAAGAGCGCCTGTCACCTTAAAAAATACTCAACAAATAGGGCAAACTACTGCAGGTAAGGAGAGAGGGGGGAAAACATATATTTTTACCTACCCTGTTTCCCCAAAAATAAGACCTACCCCGAAAATAAGACCTAGTACTATTTTTGGGAATTGCTAAAATATAACACCTACCCCGAAAATAAGACCTAGTTGTGACCATTCCCAGGACCGGTGGTGGTATAAGCGGGAACTTGAAGAGCCGTGGGAGAGGCGGGAGAGAATCAGCGTTGCCAACTAAGCCAGCGCTAGAGAAAGCGAGGTGGCACTAGAGGGAGCAGAGCCGCATAAACCGATGCTTCCTCTATAGCGCCGGCTCCTGTCACAGGCGGAGTGATACCAAATGCACCCTGCCTGTGAGGAATCGATAGTGAAAGTGCGCTTCGCTCATTTCGGCCAGCGACTGTTTAGCAAATTGCTCTTGGAAAGGTACGCCACCCCTGATTGCCCTGATCACCATATTTTTGTACGTGAATACATGTAGACTATTGTACATGAATAAGTGTGAATAAGACCTACCCTGAAAATAAGCCCTAGTGTGTTTTTTTGAGCCCCAAAAATATAAGACAGTGTCTTATTTTCGGGGAAACACGGTATGTATCAATATCTCAAAAATCAAGCAATCCACTTATCCTACTGATCATGGATGTGATATTATAATACAAAAATGCTATTCACAAAAGGGTGAAGAGTTTGGAGAAGGCAGGAGAAGTGAACAATCAAGGCTATAGTAGATGACTTGGGAAAATTCTCCAATTCAGTTCATTTTCCAGTTCAGCTATGTTGTCCTAGATCAGTGATGACGAACCCTTTTGAACCCGAGTGCCCAAACTGCGACGCAAAATCAATTTATTTATCTCAAAGTGCCAGCGCTGAAAATAAGTTTAGTATTGCAGTTTGGGCGCTCGGGTTTAAGAAACGTTCAACATCACTGCTTTACGGCCTTGTAGGGCTCTCACGGTGGACCCGAACTTCACGGATCGCCTCTGTAGTCGGGCCGGTCACAATCAGGCAGCGGCGGTGACCTCTAAACAGGCAGATTAGACGGCCGCTTGCGGGGGCCTCCCGGGGTCCTAGCGAGGAGGAAGCAGCCGTCTAACCTACCTGTTTATTGGCCGCCGCTGCCTAATTGTGACTGGCCCGGATCGCATACCAGACCCCGCAGTCTGCCTGATCTCAGGGGGGCTTTGCATGATCTGTGGGGGGTTTTGCAGGCTGCAAAGCACACCACAGATCCTGCTGAGACCCTGCAGTCTGTCGGATCTCAGGGGGGCTGTGCAGGATATTGTATTAGCAATAGCAACATGAACTAGAATAAGATAAATGTATATCTGCATCCTTTAATTAATGTGATCTTGATTCAGATTTTCTTTAAATTCCCTTTATGATACTATACCTACTATTGAAATAACAGTTTGGCTCTACTTTATAGAGTTACAACAGCCCTGTGTAAGATGTGGTTTTAATTAAAGTGTAACCCCAGCCGTGCAGCTCAAATGCAAAGGTAAAATACATATGAGTGAATAGTTTTAGTCAGTCTTATGAGTCACACACCCTTCAATAACCAGTAGTCAGCATCTCT